ATCTAGCCTAATAAAAGTTAGTGAGGCGAACATAGAGTCTGTTTGGGTTACATTAGAATTTGGTAATCACACAATAACTCGTGTAGGTGTGATTTATAGGCCCCCGGGACAAATAGAAGAGTTAGATAATCTACTAGTTGAGGAAATAGCTAAAATGACAATGAAGGGGGAAGTTATCATCATGGGTGACTTTAATCTTCCTGATGGGAATTGGAAAACAAAATTAGCTGCTTGTGCCAGGAGCACACATATTCTAAACTCCCTACAAGGATTGTCTCTAAAACAAGTCATTGAGAAGCCAACTCGTAAAGAGGCCATACTAGATTTAGTGTTAACAAATGGAGATTTGGTATCAGATATTACTGTAGGTGAAAGTTTAGGATCAAGTGATCATCAGTCAGTGTGGTTTAATATAAGAACAGTAACTGAGTCACACCACACAAAAACAAAAGTTTTAGACTTTAAAAAAACAGACTTTTTTCTAAAATTAGAATATGTGTAAAGGAGTCATTGTCAGATTGGAGCAATTTAAATGGAGTCCAAGAGAAATGGGATTATTTAAAAGTTGCACTGCTGAAGGCAACAGAAAATTGCATTAGGCTTGTCAGTAAAAGCAAAAAATTCAAAAAACCACTGTGGTACTCCGCAGATGTGGCCAAAATAGTAAAAAACAAAAAGTTAGCATTTAGTAATTATAAAAAAACCCAGAGTGAGTAAGACCGAATGCTCTATAAGATTAGGCAGAAAGAGGTTAAGCAAGTTATAAGAGCTTCCAAATCTCACACAGAAGAGAAAATAGCACAATCAGTAAAAAAAGGGGACAAAACATTTTTAGATACATAAATGAGAAAAGAAAAGTATAACAAGGATTAGTTAGATTAAAAACAAAAGAAGGAAGGTATGTAGATGAGCATAAAGGTCTAGCTGACTGAATATTTTTGTTCAGTATTTACAGAGGAAAATGAAGGAAAGTGACCTCAGCTAGGGAAAATGACAAATAAGTCATTTATTACATGTGAGTTTACAGAGGAGGAGGTTCTATTTCAACTGTCAAAAGTAAAGACAAATAAGTCAATGGGACCTGATGGAATACACCCAAAGTTATTAAAAGAGCTTAGTGGAGTACTAGCAAAACCATTAACAGATTTATTTAAGCAATCATTGTTAACAGGAGTAGTCCCAGAAGATTGGAAGTTAGCGAATGTTGTGCCCATTCACAAGAAAGGTAGTAGGGAGGAGTCGGGCAACTATAGGCCAGTAAGCCTTACTTCAGTAGTGGGGAAAGTAATGGAAACCGTGTTAAAGGATATTATTGTTGATCATCTAAAAAATAAATGGATTTCAAGATCAAAGACAACATGGGTTTACTTCTGGGAGATCATGCCAAACTAATCTTATTGATTTTTTGGATTGGGTAACTAAAATAATAGATCAGGGTGGTGCAGTAGACATTGCTTACCTAGATTTCAGTAAGGCTTTTGACACTGTTGCACATAGAAGGCTTATCAATAAATTGCAATCTTTAAGTTTGGATTCCAATATTGTTGCATGGGTAAGGCAGTGGCTGAGTGACAGGCAACAGAGGGTTGTAGTCAATGGAGTATATTTGAAGCTTGGGCTTGTCACCAGTGAGGTACCTCAAGGATCTGTACTTGGACCCATTCTCTTTAATATTTTTATTAGTGATATTGCAGAAGGTCTTGATGGTAAGGTATGTCTTTTTGCTGATGATACTAAGATATGTAACAGGTTTGATGTCCCAGGAGGGATAAGCCAAATGGCAAATGATTTAGGTAAACTAGAAAAATGGTCAGAGTTGTGGCAACTGACATTTAATGGGGATAAGTGCAAGATAATGCATCTTGGACGTAAAAACCCAAGGGCAGAGTACAGAATATTGATAGAGTCCTAACCTCAACATCTGAGGAAAGGGATTTAGGGGTGATTATTTCTGATGACTTAAAGGTAGGCAGACAATGTAATAGAGCAGCAGGAAATGCTAGCAGAATGCTTGGTTGTATAGGGAGAGGTATTAGCAGTAGAAAGAGGGAAGTGCTCATGCCATTGTACAGAACACTGGTGAGACCTCACTTGGAGTATTGTACACAGTACTGGAGACCGTATCTCCAGAAGGATATTGATATTTTAGAGAGAGTTCAGAGAAGGGCTACTAAACTGGTTCATGGATTGCAGAATAAAACTTACCAGGAAAGGTTAAAGGATCTTAACATGTATAGCTTGGAGGAAAGACGAGACAGGGGGGATATGATAGAAACATTTAAATACATAAAGGGAATCAACACAGTAAAGGAGGAGACTATATTTAAAAGAAGAAAAACTACCACAACAAGAGGACATAGTCTTAAATTAGAGGGGCAAAGGTTTAAAAATAATATCAGGAAGTATTACTTTACTGAGAGGGTAGTGGATGCATGGAATAGCCTTCCAGCTGAAGCGGTAGAGGTTAAAGGACCACTATAGTGCCAGGAAAGCATACTCATTTTCCTGGCACTATAGTGCCCTGAGGGTGCCCCCACCCTCAGGGTCCCCCTCCCGCCCGGCTCTGGAAAGGAGAAAATGGGGTAAAACTTACCTTTTTCCAGCGCTGTGCGGTGAGCTCTCCTCCTCCTCTCCTCCCCGTCGGCTGAATGCGTACGCGCGGCAAGAGCAGTGCGCGCATTCAGACGGTCTCATAGGGAAGCATTATCAATGCTTTCCTATGGACGCTTGCGTGGAAGCACGCAAGCGCCTCTAGCGACTGTCACTGAGACAGCCGCTAGAGGCTTTGGGGGAAGGCTTAACCCATTCATAAACATAGCAGTTTCTCTGAAACTGCTATGTTTATAAAAAAATGGGTTAACCCTAGCTGGACGAGGCACCCAGACCACTTCATTAAGCTGAAGTGGTCTGGGTGCCTAGAGTGGTCCTTTAATACAGTGAAGGAGTTTAAGCATGCATGGGATTGACATAAGACTATCTTAGATATAAGAGACTCATGAAAGTATTTTAGAAAATTGGGCAGACTAGATGGGCCGAATGGTTCTTATCTGCCGTCACATTCTATGTTTCTATGTGATACATTGAAAATAGCTTTATTAATTGGAATCTTCTGTTTTCAGAAATAATACAAATTATGACAGTTTGCCTTTAACGTGCAATCCAAAAAAATGATTACACATTGTGTTTCTACAAAAAGAATAAACCACAAATATAAGTTAACAACCAGACAATGGATGTCTCAGAAGGCTGGTCATACAATATAATATGGCATTATTTAACGATGCATTTAAATGTACTGAATTCTTATGTGTTTTTTCTTCAAAAAAGTTATGTAGCTAATGCAAATATCTCCAGGGATCATAGGCGTGCGCAGCCTATTGCATTAGGGTGTGCACCCTAAAGCACAGGCACACGCCGCGTATATGTATGTATGTATATATATATATATATATATATACACTGCTGTGTGTGTGTGTTCTGTGTGAGGGTGCTGGTAGTGTGCTATGTGGGTGTTTGTGTGTGCGTGCGCTTGTGAGGGTGCTGTTAATGTACTGTGTGAAGGTGCTGTTTGTGTGTGAGGGTACTGGTAGTGTGCTGTGTGTGTGTGTTTGTTAGGGTCCTGTTAGTGTGCTCTATGTGTTTGTGAGGGTGCTGTTTGTGTGCTGTGTGTGTTTGTGAGGGTGCTGTATGTGTGTGGGTGCCGTATGTGTGTGTGTGGGTGCCGTATGTGTGTGTGTGGGTGCTGTGTGGATGGGTGCTGTTTGTGGGTGATGTGTGTTCTGTTTGTGTGGTGTATGTGTGAGGATGTTGTGTGTGTGATGTTTGTTTGCTGTATGTGTGTGGGTGCTGTGTGTGTGCTGTATGTGTGTGGGTGCTGTGTGTGTGCTGTGTGTGTGCTGTATGTGTGTGGGTGCTGTGTGTGTGTGTGTGTGATGTGTGTGGGTGCTGTGTGTGTGCTGTATGTGTGTGTGTGTGCTGTTTGGGTGATTTGTGGGGGTGGAGGTGGGGGCAGATTAATTAATAAGATTAGTTAATAAATATCCCCCCTCCCTTCTTACCTTATGCTGCTGCCTTCCCTGGTGGTCCAGTGGAGGTGGGGGCAGATTGCTTAATATCCCCCCTCCCTTGTTACCTTATGCCAGGGAGAGGGGATCCTTTCTGCCTTCCCTGGTGGTCCTAGTGGTGAGAGTGAACTAAAAGCCTGCGGGGCTAGAGTTCACTCTCGCGAGTTCTGAGTGTTGCCGCGGTAACCGCAGCAACGCTCAGATCTCGCAAGAAAAACCCAGCAGAGCTGCTGGCAAGAGCTCCCCGGGTCCTCTCCTGCCTCCCTCCCTGCCTGTGGGTCGGTGGGGAGGGAGGCTGAGAGCAGACTGCATGAGCAGACCTGCCGGTCTCAATAAATAGGCGTGCCGCGGGGATTAGGGAGTGCCCAGGCACACCCAGCACACCCCGTGCGCACGCCTATGCCAGGGATGGGTAACTAACCTCACATTAGCAAATGGTAATAAACAGAAGATATTTCTAAAATTACATATATATTTGTGTGTTATTTCTGCCAGGTCTTCACTTTCCCCAACACTGAAACCAGAGAAGGACAACTGACCATAAAATCTATAGGTTATTATTTAACTAATAAGTGTAGATGTGGCTTCTGTGGATTGTATACAAGTAACTTATTGGCACGTATATTCTTGTAAACATATTCTAAACTATGTGGGTTTTTTCCCTCTCACCTCTTGTGATTAAAAGTTAGGGGCACCAAGGGCTTGCTTTGAAAGGATTTTGTGAACACTGTTTGGGCAGGAATTGTTAATTGTTCATTATTTCATTTCTAGCAGATGCTCGGAAGAGACCTTAACACACAGGATGAAGAATGCTGTTGGAAGTCAAAGGCCAAGGGCTTAATGGAAGGCAAAGAATGGCTACAAGCTGGGATGGATGCTGACAAGAAAAATACACCACACTAAGCTTAATTTATGACTAGGTAAAATAGGCAGCTGCCTAAAGGCAGTTTGGCACCTGTACAGTCTTCATAAGAATGCAGCAATGCTTCATGGACAAATTGCTCACATCTGACACGTGGCATGTGTCCAAAGTGCATTGAAAGTAGTGTGGTCACATTTGCAATTAAAACAGGCAGCACCAGCATATTTAGTTAAAATTCAATAAATTAATGGCTTTCTACATATATTAATTACACAGTGCACACATGGTTAAACAGATAGGAAAAGAAAATACTTCAGTACATAACACCTGATAGGTTTTGGGCAAAAGCAGTTAGTCATGCCTGGTACAGCCCCGTTCCTCATTCATCATTGGTGGTGAGTGATATTTGGCGCTACATCCTGTTGGACTTATGCCTAATGACTTTGTGAGCTGTCAATGTTTCTACTTTTACGGTATGTCACTGAGGAGTCTGTTTCAGGGAAAGCATTCAACAAAGTCCCATTAGACTGCTGAGGATTGTGCAAATTCCCATTTTCCAATGCATCATTGAGTTGATGCTAAATATGTGTTGATTTATTATGAAAAAGGAACACACACAATGATAAATACCTATTACCGCAAGAAAGACCTTAACTGAGCGTACACTGCTGCTAATTCACCTTTCTTAAAACTGTGACATAAAGTGTCAGTTCAGAAGAATATATAGGGTGCACCAGGTCATATTTTTTGTTTCTTTGTTATTTTAACATGTAATAATCTCTAGTAAACTACCCAGATGGGATTAATGAATTTTAGTTTGAAAGTTTTTAATTGGAAAATGGATATATATATATATATATATATATATATATATATATATATATATATATATAAAAATTGAAGCAGAGGGTGTTAGACAGTTTATTGTGTTGGTTTATTTCCTTGTTAGTTTTTTAAATTTTTTTAAAATTAATTTTATATGTTTTTTTATGAATGTCAGTTTCATTTGGTAGAAGATGTAGCTGTAACGTAGTTTTTTTTTTTTTTTTTACAGGGTAAGGTTATGGAAGGCACCCCTCGTGTCCACATATATTTAGAGACACTGGAGGTGGAAGCGGCTTATAAACGTATAATAATGTTTTTCCTGTAAAGCAGTTCGACCTGCTGTTATTTGATAATGACATCTGCTTATGGCATTTAATTAATGGCATGGTTTGTGTAGCAAATATTTTCTGCTTGTGCTGCTAATGAATAAAAACCAAACTACGTGTCTTTTATTTACATTTCACTACATTTTCTTGGTTGAATCCATAAAATCTAATAAAAAGTAAGTGAAATAAAACCGAGATGGTCTATAAGATTATATTTCAATCTCCGTGTGTATATTATTCAGTTGACTTGCCCTTAGAGACCATGACACATACAGTAATAATCAGTGTACTCATATTTGTGCTTCTCATTTGCATATAAATAGGATCTTCTTTGGGAATCCAAAAATCTAGCCTGATGTAGCTGACAGTCCTAAGGGATTGTTAGAGTATTGCTATAATGAGTCCAAGTCTTGAATGAAGAACACAGAAATTCTATATGCTGCTTATCTCAGCGTATGATTGGCCAGGTAGGGACATCTAGTATTGGAGAATTGGCTTTCAATTGAGTGACAGATGTCAGGAATAATTTATAATAACAGTGTTGCACCAGAGCTTTCAACTTACATAAAAAAAGATCTTGTATAAGAATTAACCTGTTGTTTGCAGCATGTGAGATAAACAGTAGTAATATATATGTAACAAAACCTTAAGTGGGCCGCAGAGATAATTTTATTTCTAGCTCAAAATATATCTATTGTAGGTGTAGGTTGTATCTCTTGTGATTTGGTTTAGCTATTTTTCCATTGTAATCTCTAATTAAATATTCTTTTATTGGAGGGGAACGAGAAAACAATAGACATAACAGAGTTGTAGATGTACTGGTACAAAAATGTTTAGATTTGGATCAGGTACCTTTTAACTAGATGTTCACAAACGAGCATCTGGGAGCCTTTTTTTTCATGTCAAAAGAAGCTTCGAGAAAATCTCATCCCATCTGTCCCAGTGCACATTAAAACAATCACCTCAAACAGCGTTTGCACTGCAAAATGCTTTATAATTAATTTCAAAGAAGTGCAAGTTTTGCAGTTTTTATTCTATTTTTGTTCTATGCAGGAAATTAGTGACTTTTAAGAAGAAGTAAAAAAAACAAACAAGCAAAAAAAAAAAAAGAAACAAGACAAAATACACACAATTATTTTATCTGGTCTTTCTTTTTACTTCTGTAAGTCTCCTTTACCGTTAAGTATACTCTGTACCCACATATAGAATTACAAAAGAAGGAAAAAAAACATTATTTTAAGAGAAACAAAATCCATTTACATAAAATCATTTAAAAATAAACTGTTTAAAAGAGACATCTGTATGGCTTGGAGTTGAATGTCTTTTCCAGTTAAAAAAAAGACGACAAAAAATATCTGCTGAAAAAAAAAGAAAGAACATATGGTCACACTCCGTTTCGTCCATCAAGAAGGTATCATACATGTTTTATTACTAGAAAGCCACGCAGGGCTATTTACTATAGTGTGAGTTTTTGGAAATCCAAAGTGAATTTTGAATTTTAGATCAAAATAGTCAAACTGGAAGCCTAGCTGACTCTAAGAATCTCTCCAATTTAGCTATTTTGGCCTTAAATTTGACATTCACTTTGAATTCACTTTAGCAAATCAACCTGATGATCTAAGATCAAAAAAGTAGAAAAGTGAGCATTATGGATAGCACAGACAAATATATATATATAAATATGCAAATTGCATTTAAATAACAGTGCTATTCAGTGGTGGAACTAAAGCAGAGAGGGCCCTGGTGCAAGAATTTTTTTGCCCCCCCTCCCCCTGTCGCAAGGATGAAATAAAAGGTAGATCCCCATCTGTCGTACAACTCCCATAATGCTTTGCTTGTTGGGGATCTACAATTTGCCCATCCCTGCAGGGTTGTACTTAGCTCTGAGCAGTTGTTAATCGCTAATACACATACAGATACATAGATACACACACACACACACACTGACACATGCAGATACACAGACACACACACAATGACACACATGCAGATGCACAGACACACAGATACACACAATGACACTCATATAGATACAAACACTGACACACATACAGATGCGCACATTGACACACATATTTACATACTTATACAGACAAACAGACATATACCATACATACCCAGACATACAAAACACACAGATACCAATAAGGCACACAGATAACACACATAGATAGCACATACATGCATATACACACAGAATACATACACACAGATAAGACATATACACAGATAATACAAGCACAGAGATAACTTTTTGGTGCAGGAGGGTGGCGTCCCTGTTTCCAGTGGCATCTGGCTGAGTGTGATAGGAGTCTGGTCCAGTCTAGCCCTTTTCTCAGTTGTCCTCCCCTCTCTCCCACGCAGCTTGATGGTAAGCTGTCAGGAAGTGACTTGTACTCACTTCCTCCCTTTACTGTGGCTTCACACAGACCATGGGCTACCTGATGGATATCTTTCATAAGGGGCCCGGTCAGGCGCCGCTACCCTTTAACAGAACGACTGGGCCCCTTATGAAAGATGTCCATCGGGTAGCCCTAAGTGCATGGGCCACTCAATGAGCCATCTAAGCTTGCGGGCCTGGTGCTGCCGCTCCAGCTGCACTGGAGATAGTTTAGCCACCGATGCTATTCACAAACATATATTGATAATGCAGGTTGTAAATGCAGTTCAAAATGGCAAGTGGTCTCATCCTGCTTCTTATGGAAATCTGAACGGACCCCAGGGCCAGCTGGATGATATATCACATGTAGCAAGTGTGAGTATTGTTTTCTTCCAAATAGGTGCAGTCATTATTGTTATCAATCTTTATCTACCATACAATATCCATTCACATATTTATCCATTGGAACATATGCCCTTTTTTTTATAAATGCACTATAGCTAATCTTTCTTTCTTTCTTCCTCACCTTCCTTACTTTATGCAGTAAAGGGTTAACAGCAATGTCACCATGCTGGTGATGTATCATCTATGTACAATGGAGCATATATTGATATGATTAATTACTAATGAAACTAAGGCTTGCAATATTCAAAAAGCCTCAACTACTAGAACTTTGAAAATTCTGTGAGAACCCACCTATCCAAAGAAGTCTACCAATTGTCCCCTTTCCAAACTCTTGTAAGCCCAGTCCCCTGCCTTATCCACCATTCTATTGATGTACTATCCTCAACAATCAGACCTTTGTCCGTGCAATCCCTTTACTTACTATCTCTCACATCTACCTCCTGCTAGATTATAAACTCACAAGATCAGGAACGCTATGTGTTTATTATGGCAAACCTTTATGTAATGTCTGTTAAACATCAGCTTGTCTGTAACAGTATTATATTAAACAGCGTTGAAGAATCTGCTGGCAGTATGTAAAAAATGAATAATGGAAAACTTAAATGTATTTATTCTGAAGATAAACTAATTTTGTAATAGTATCATTATAATCCAGGATGCTTCATGGGTAAGGATGGATGAATGTTTAATGGTATTTTTGTGGCATGTGCCAAAGTAGGCCAAATTGATATATTCATTTGATTAATGCAACATGTAGATTTGCATTTGATTATGCATTGTAAAGCACTTATAGGAGAGACTGCTGGCACAGTCACACACTAAAAAGGTGTTTATACAATATATCTGGAATGGAGCTGAATTCATAAATGGATTTCAATTTTGGTCCAAAGTAGGCAAGCTATAAATATTGCTGAAAATGTCACTAAAATGGACAATAACTTTTTTCCCCCCAACAATTCTCAATTGAGCTTAAAAAAACTCATCATTTTAGAATCTTCTTTTAAATAGATTAACAAATACTTTATACTAACTAAAAAACAAATGTCATCGCTTTACGCAGCAATTAGACAAATTAAACAATTTTGCATTAGCCAATCAATGCATAAAAAAAATCATAATTTCAAGGTTAAAGTCTAATGTATGAAAATATTCATGTTTTATGGTGCAAAGCAGAAGAAAAACAGTACAACCAGAGGCTGTTTTTCTTTTCTCTGAAACAGAAATTCAAATGCTATATACACAAGTGCTTACAAAAGTGAATTCAATCATTTTAATGCTTGTTTAAAAGCTCTCTTCTTCTACTTTAGGCCTTCAACTCTTTTGACAAGTCAGTTCTTTACAGGAAATGTTCATCCCATTAA